TGTGAGGGTCACATGGTTAGTGGGCTGCTTGTCATTACCATGGTAACCATGTGGACCCCTGGGGATGAGTGAGAGAGCAGGAGTCACTTTTAATCTATATCAGCCCCCCACCCCCCAGCCTCTATAAATAGACGAATGTATGGACCCACACACGGGCAAGCAGCTGCTTACGGCGCCGTCACCACGAAGCGCTCGGCGTTCACGGCGCTCTGCTGCAGACCCCGTCTCGACTTTTAGGATTCAAGCGTTCCTTCTTGATAAAGCAGCTGGATCAGGTGACCCTGCCCCCTCCCTTAGCTCCGCCTGTTGGAGCGTAGCTGACGTTGTTGGATCTACCTTACAGCGTGAAGCGCCCTGAGGCGATGGCTGCATAAATAAAGCTGAAGCATGACGTGAAGACTTCACGCTGCCACAGTCGCCAAACATCAAACACGCAGACTTTAACAGCAGACCGGTCACATGAGCTGACCTTTGACCTCTCCAATCAGGCAGGCCATCACACCTTTCCTGTTGGAGTATTATCTCCTCTGCAGGTGCTTCATGGATCACTCGACTGAAACTGAGGCTACGTTCACGCTGCAGGTGAAAGCTCATCAAACCTGATTTTTCTGACCCTGTGCGACCATCGACCCGATCATGGTGTGACAGTGTGAACGCCACAAATCTGATATTTACAAATCCGACCTGGGTCACTTTTGTATGTGGTGCTGAATCTGATACATATCTGATGTTTTAGAAAGCTGCTGTTTGATGGTCATGTCGCATTAAATCCGTCTTTTACGTCACTGACACGAGACAGACGCCGATTATCAGCGCCGGAGAAGACATCGCGAACGCTTCCTGTCCGTCCAGTGAAACTGTTGGAAAGACAACGTGAACATTTTCTTTGTATAATCTGCAGCTAGAAGCTCCGCTCCTCTAAAACAGCAATAAGGATCATTATTAGGTTATTTACATTATTATGTCAATAACAAAATAACTTAAAGCACAAATTGGGAAACGTGAAGTCTGAAGTCTTTACATTAAGGCATCAGTCACATACTGTTGCTCTGGGTCTGAACAGAGCGCGTTGTGCGTGACGTCTGCTTCTGCGCATGCGGCGCTCTGAGCGTTCACACTAGACGTTGTTTTTTTAGTGCTATATAAATAAATAAACACCTGTCAGCTGACTCACCTGTAACAGAATGACATCATCAGACAGGTCACCGTGAAGCTCCTCTCCTGACTTTCAGAAAGTGATTCTTGCTTCACAATGACCGGGGTCACATGACCACGGAGGAGCCAATCCTTACCTCTGTCCACTCCCGCCTCTTCAGAGCTTCTTGTTGGTTTGCTTCTGTGGGATGTCACTCTCAGGTGTTTGCTCCACCCATACTCCTCCGCCAAGAGGTAGAACCAACCATTGAGGGGCTGTCATTCCAGAGGAGGCGGAGCCAGCAGGTTACAACGTGTATAAACAGTCAGTGCGAGATTCTCTGCTGCGAGTACGTTAACTCACCTCACAGGATGAGACGAGAGAGCCAATCCCGAAGCTCATACAGCCAATCAGCTGACTGCGCCTGAGGAGACGGACACACCTGATGAGTAAGACAAAGCACCACCAGGTCGTCTGTATGACCTTAGATCAGGCCGTGAACTTTAATTGGAAAGTAAAACATTTGATTTCCTGTTTTCAAGAGCTCGGCGGCAGAAGGTCACAGGGACGAGGATCCTCGCTGTCCAGGTTCAGGTGAAGCTGCTGGTCTGACGCTGTGACGCTGAATAACCGAGCTCAGGAGGGTCGGCTGCCCGTGCGTCTCCTCAGCAAACACACTGAGCATGCCCAGCAGCGCTCTGCATGCTTCAGAGCCTCAGCTTTCTCAGTCACACAGAGTTCCTCTCTGTTCTGCGTGTATCAGAGCTGTTTCTTATATTTTGTAACGTTCAGAATATTTTGTGTTATTTAAGTTCAGTCGGTTCTTGTTCTCATCGTCTTGGAGCGACCGCATCATTTCACGTGTTCTGGATCAGAGGACGGAGCAGCTCGGCCTGTTTCTGTAAGCTTTCTCTTCATGCTCGGGTAATGAGGCGTCTTCCTCCTGGAGATTCTTCTTCTCTGGCTGCATGTTGTGACCGTGGAGAGGAAAGACCCACACCTGTGCAGGTACCTGCAGCCTTGAAGCTGAACTCTTCCTCCGGTCTGGATGTTGAAACCTGAACTTTTCATCATGTGACCTCAAAGTGTTTAAACAAGTGTCCCACGTGAGCCCCACTGCCACCATCAGGCCAGAGTGTGAACTGCAACATGTGGATGTCCGGCCTGAAGAGCTGCAATCAGCAGCAGCTCAACAGGTGAGTCAGAGTGATGTCATCACTCACCTGTTGTCAGCAGGTCGTCTGAACACCGAAACCAGCAACCTGCTCGGCACGAG